TTGGGTGCATCTTATATGCCGGAGCATCTTATATTGCGAAAAATATGGGTATATGCCATTTTTTGGGCTATAACTATTTTAAAACTGACAGAATACACTTGTCCCTCCCTTTTTGCATACTTGGAATCCGCGGTCTCACTTTTTGCAGGAGGGACAAACGGCTATAAATAAAATGGCCATGTGCGTGCCATAGGCACGCACACTATTATTTCCTCTGGGACTCGAATATCTGCCAGTCCCCATTTTCATGGGGGGGGGGGGTTCTGGAACATATCTTCTGAGAATTAGGAGTGACTACTGTACATATGTTTTCAGAGCACATCACCTAATTAGCATATGTGTACCACTGAAAGCCAGGATGGGCAACATCGTGCCCTTGGGACTTAAAGGCTTGTTGCTGTGTGCCTTCAAGTTACGACAACCCAAACCTATCATGAGGTTTTCTTGGCAGGATTTGTCCTGGGAAGGTTTGCTATTGCCTTCTTCTGAGGCTGACCGTATGTGACTTGCCCATGGCCACTCAAGTGGTTTGCATGACTAAGTAAGGATTCAAATCCTAGTTTCTAGATGCTCAAGCCACTGGCTCTCACACATGTGGCACATGGCATAAAATCCTCTGTAAGTGTTCAGTTCAGGCATTTACACAAGTTTATGTTTCTTTCTCAGTAGCCTACAGGTTGAGGACAGGGGAAGAAGAGGAAGAGAGAAAAGAGATGTAGGGGGGTTGCAGACTGCCAGAAATAGTGCAAATTGAGTCCATATTTAGGGTTAGGTTTAGGTTTAGGGAATCATGGGAACTGTATTTTATTGTGACATCAAGCTCTCTGACAGAGAAGGCTCAATGTCTCAGAAAAAAAACCAATTCCCATGAAAAAAAACCAATTCCCTGGATGGCCATCTGTCGGGGATGCTTTGATTGGGAGTTCCTGCATGGCAGGGGGTTGGACTGGATGGCCCTTGTGGTCTCTTCCAACTCTATGATTCTATGATTCTATGATTCCCTAGCACTAACCCTAACCCTAAAAGTGGACTCAATTTGCACTATTTCTGGCAGTCTGCAACCCCCTGTAGTCACCTACTTTTGGCTTTTGTTGCACCCACTGTTGGCTGCAGCCATCCTCCTGACCCACAAGTGGTTCCCACTAGAGTACACCTAAAGGAAAGTATCCCTAAAAATATGCCATTGTTAAATGCGAGTCTGTAATCTCAAAGCAATGATTTGTAGAACTGAGTGATAAAACATAGAGGGGAAAAATACACAAAATATTGCAGGTGGACTGTTTCTGTACAGTAGCACGTTAGGGCTCCTTTGAAGCTTGAGGGAGAAACCTGTTATTGTAGGCTTCTGCTGCTAATTCTGAGATGCTCTTAATCTGTAAACATTGCAAGAGGCAGTATGGTAATGAACTGTAATACTGTGTTGTTGTTCTAGCATGTCTTTTTGAGATGCCTTGGGAATCAAAAAGGTCTCTGGCAGACATGCAGATTGGCAATCAAATGACCTGTCTTCAGTGAATGCTACCTCTGGGGCACTGTCTGCATGTATTATTAACCAGACAGAAAGAAACTAATGAAAAGCATT